TCTGCTGAAAGATAGTGTCTTCTACACATGACAGGGAAGCTGAATCCAGGAAACCACAATATGATTACCTAAGCAAGACCTGAAAATGGCAACACCAGATGGGAGAAATATTACCAAGTCCCACCCCTAGATGAAGAGCTACAGGCAGAGAAGGTGAATTAGTCTTCTTCAGGCACAAGAAGCCAGACCTAAACATATATACATATGAGCAACACTAAGTAGACTCCGTAGACTGTATTTATAAATTTGTGTGTTCACATAAAACAATAATAATTAAAAAATAAGAGGTCATGAATTAGAGAATTAGTTGGGTGACACGAGAGGAGTTGGAGGGAGAAAAGGGGGTAGAAATAATGTAAATACAGTATTCATATATGAGTGTCTCAAAAAGTAAATGATAAAATTTTAAAGAAGAAAAGCTAGACTTGAGGCAATATGTCTAATATTTAATTCACCCCACTGAAACTATGATCTCATTGAAATTAAACTAGAAAAAAATCAATAATACCTAAATTTAAAAATAATTGAGTAACTATCATAACTCTATGAATGAAAGAAAAATCTTAAAATTAAAAGATGGCTTAGTTGTTGGTAAAATGGAAGCAGGAAGACCTGTGTGTGCTTGTGCTCTCCAGCATCCATGTGAAAAACCAACCATGATGGAACACATTTATCATCCGGTGCTGTGGCATCAAAGACAAAGAGCTCTCCTGCTCTTGCTTCTTCAGGGCTGGCTTACCTGTGTGCCACACACACACACACACACACACACACACACACACACACACACACACACACACACACACAATAGGGTTAGCTCTAGTGTGCTGCCCAGACAGGGTTCAAGCCTGCTATCCTGTGTGCTGCAGCTGATGAGGGGCAGTGTTAGTTCTCTCACTCTCATGACCCTAGGGCCAGCTCTCTAGCCTCTCACGGGCAGCAAGGGGTAGAGGCGGGGAGGACATTTTTCCCTCACTCATGCCACTGCATAGCAGACAAGGAGGATCATAGTGGACTCTATTCCTCTTATGCCCTCAGAGCTGCCTTACCTGCATCCCTAACAATAAGGCCATCTCTGTTGTGCTGCCCAGATGAGAAGAGCCCACTCTCTTGTGTGCTGTAGCTAGTGAGAGTCAGGGCTAGCTCTCCTACTCTTGTGACCCCAGGGCCAGCTCTCTCACCTGCTGCAGGCAGTAAAAGGTGAGGGTTGAAGGGCATCTTTCTCTCATGCATGCCACCACACGGTGGGGTGGGGGGACAAGCTCTCCTGCTCTCACACACTCAAGGTTGACTTACCTGTGTCCCCTACCTCAGGGTCAGCTCTATCTAGTGTGCTACCCAGATGAGGTGCATGCCTGGGGTGAGGGGGTAGGGACATCTTTTCCAAGTGTGGGGGAGTGGCAGAGGGGGGCCGAAACACCCCTGAGGGAGTGGAGCCAGCTCTCCTAGCCAGGCACAAGACCAACTAACTATACCAGGGCCAGTACAGGGCAGGGCTGGCTCAGCACAGCATGGTTTCAACGACCCCTTGTGATAACATAGGCCCTAATACCATCACAGACTCCTGTTGCCGCAGGACCATGGACCAAGACATGGCCCTGGGCAACAGCTTGGTCCCAGACATCACCACTGCTGGTGGAAGCACAGGCCACCCAGATCAATATGACCCCAGCAGCATGGTTCTCGCGCACCAACATGATCTCAGGTGGTAGACCTAACCCTGGGAAGCAGCAGAGCCCTCAGTGCTAACAGGAGACATGGGCATTGCCCCACCCCCGACAAAAACCTGTTATCGTTGCTGGGGAGAATATGCCACTTTCTTCAAAAGTGTAGCCACTCAGATGCTGTCCCCATTCTAGTAAACAATCTCTCACCTATGCTCATATTTGCAACGGTAATCAAATTAATTAATGATTATAATCAAAATAATTAATGATCATATAGACATAAAAGGAGGAGGACTTGTTGGGTTTCTATGTATAACATTGTATCATGAGAAGATGCGGGTAATTTCCCTTCTTCGCCTCCTATCTGCATGCCTTTTAGTACTATTTCCTAATTTTTCTAGCTAAAGCTTCTTTTACTTTAAGAATGATGGTCATCATCCTTGTTTATTTACTCACGTTACAGAGAAAGTTTTCAACTTTTCACCTGTAGATGTGATGTTAACTATGGGCTTGTCATATTCATTGCCATTATTGTATTGAAGGACATTCATCAATTGTCTAATTTTTTAATGTGTTAGGATATTAAACTTTGTCAAACCAATTCCTGCATTTACTGAGATGACTGTATGGCTTTATTCACACTTTTTATGTAGTGCTTGTAGACAGCCTTGCAACCAAGAGACAAATCATTTCTTTGTGGTGAATTATGATATGCTGTAAAACTTTACTTGCTAGTATTTTCTTGACTATAATTTTTACTGCCTGCAATGTCTTCATTTAGAATAAATATCATGGTAATCCTGGGCTCATGGAGTAAATTTCTAAGTATTCCTTACTTCTATTTTAGAAAACAGTTTGAGAATTCTTGTAGTGGAAAATCTACTCTAGGAGCCAGTTATGATCTGATGCATAACAACACTGGGGATCTGAGATGAATTCCCAGAACCACAAAAGTGTGGGGAAAGAAAGAACACCATACTCACATCATCATAATAATAGCAATTTTAATAAGGATAATATAATATCAGAAGATGCTGTCAACCTGCCAAGGGAGAAAAGCAATCAACAGTCCTAACAGCTGAGAGGAAAGATGAACATATCCAGGAAGACATAGCATAAACATACCGAAATCATCAATAAGAAAATGGTGGTTCTACATACATGCACGTGCAACCAATTTTTATTCAATATATAGGATTTTTGCCTTTGGGAATAAATGATTGGTGCTATGTATTGATCTACAACTTGAGTTGTTCCTACCTGTGGCTGTATAAAATAATTCTCCACAAGCCAATAAATTAATATCTTATGTAAATATGTATGTACATATTTATGTGAGTGTTCATGCACCTGCATGCATTAAATGTGCACCACATTCATTCAGGTGTCAGAGAAGCTAGAAAGGGGTATGGATCCCCTAAAAATGGAGCTACGGTGGTTGTGAAGCACTTGATGTGGGCATTAGGAACTAAATCTGGATCTTCTGCAAGAGCATCAAACCCTCTTAACTACTGGCCCATCTCTCTAGCCCCTAAACATCTAAATAATTTTTGGATTAGCTTCACATTTCAAAGAAAGTATATTTTTCTTCTTATGATGGATACTGGAGTTATTTCTTTTAACATTATTGCAATAATACATCCAGCTTTGTTTTGTTTTGTTTCTTACATTAACACTATTATGACTAAGGTCTAGATTTCTGAAAGACACTATTCTGGGTTGGAAGTCAGTTGTATCTATCATATGTATTGGAAACTCCCAAATGTATTTATGGAATAGAGACCTTCAGCAGGAAGGAATGAGTGTGCACACTAAATGACAACTTTGCTAACATTGAAAACTACTAATGTTTCAGCTACATTAAAAGGAACCACAGTGAGCTTTTAGCTTAACTGTATGATCAAATAAACACACTGAACAGATTTTCCACATATTTTAAAAAATGTATACTTCTGGGTCTATAATTTGTCTGCCTGCCCCTTCATTGGCTGAATTTCCTAATATTTGCCATTTTAGCTGTGAATATGAATATAAACACAGTCTTATTTATAACTCCTACATAAAAATAGTTTTTCTCAAATTTTTAGAAGCTTTTTGTTGCTGCTGTTTATGTACATGTGTCTGTGTGGATGTATAGCAAGTATGTAGAGTACCAGCAGAGGCCAGAAGAAGACACCAGACCTGCTGTGGCTGGAGTTACAGGGGATTGTGCACCATATAATACGGATGCTGAAAACCCTTTGAAAGGACAAGAGTGAACATTAATTAGTCTGAATCCACAAAAACATGAGTCAAATATCAGGATAAAAGCTGAAAATCAGAAAAGCAGAGTAGCAGCCATCAGAGACTTATTTCTTTAAATTCTCCTACCAAAAGGACTGAGATCCTGTGTCCGCTCCACCTTATTAGTTCCTGTCTTGTTTCTGTACAGACCTCTATGTTAACTAGTGGCTAGCTCCACTCTCTGATCTCCAGGCAAGCTTTATTTTTCAGAACACAAACAAAATATCACACAACACAAGAATGAATTAATGAACCATCTCTCTATACCCTTCTACATTCTTTCGATACAAGTTCATGTTGGTTAAATTTCAAGAAAATGTCTTTATGTCTAGTCAAGTCTAGTCAGAAACAACTATCCTGCACTCAAAGGAGCTCACAAACTCTGGACCGACAGCTGGGAAATTTGCATAGGCAATACCTAGACCCTCTACATATGCGTCACAGTTCTACAACTTTATCTACTTGTGGGACTCCTAGTCGTAGAAGCAGCCTCTGTCCTTAATGTCCTTAATAGGTTCCAGGAACCTATTCCCCACACTGGGTTGCCTTGCTCTGTCTTAGTACAGGGGAATGAACTTATCATACCACAACTTGATATGCCATGCTTTTTTCATGCCCATGAGGGGCCTGCTTGTTTCCAAATGAAGGCAGAGGAGGAGTGGATTGGGAAGTTGTGTTTGAAGAAGGTTAAGTTAGGAGGAAATGGGAAGAAATGAGGAAGGGAAAACCAGGATCTAGATAGATAATAAATTAATAGATTTAATTATTAATAAAAAGAAAAGCAAAAACAAAGTATTGATGCAGTAAACATTATATAGATATTTAATTTTTGTCTCCTAGTATGTGTTTTTAATTGTTGTTATATAAATATTTATTATATAACTATATTAACTTATTATAAAATAGACATATGTATGAACTCAGACCCCATTCATATAATTTTGCAATACAGATCATCCCAGAGAGACTAAGACAGGCAGTAAAACATGCTAAAAATAACCTATTAATTGGAAGAACCTGTTTCTTCTATGTGTCTTTTTAACTATATATCTAGCACAGATATCTAAGGCAGAGCATAAATAGAGTTTGGCCTTGCCTATCTGTTGAAAATTGTTTCCTTTGTATTTGTCTTCTGAATGCATCTCTCACTTCCTTGTTCCTCAAGCTATAGATGAGGGGGTTGATCATGGGAATCATGACAGTATAAAATAGAGAAATAACTTTATTGGTATCCAGTGAAGACTTTGTATTAGGTCGAACATAGATGAAGAACAGAGTTCCATACAGGATGGAGACAGCTGCCAAGTGAGAGGAACAGGTAGAGAAGGCTTTCATTCTCCCATCAGTGGTCTGGATCTTCAAGATGGCCATCAAGATGCAGATGTAGGAGACTGTGATGATCAGACCACTAAGCACTCCTATTGTTCCATCTAAGACAAAAAGCACTATCTTGTTGATCCAAGGGTCAGCACATGCTAAGGAAAGCATTGGAGAAATATCGCAAAAGAAATGGTTGATGGCATTTGGACCACAGAATGGTAAACAAAAAGTCAAGGTTGTATGAGTTGTGATGTTTATAGCAGCTAGAACATAAGGTCCTATGACAAACTGCATACAGACCCTCTTAGACATAATCAGAGAATACAGCAAGGGTTTACAGATGGCTGTATACCGATCATATGCCATGGAAGCAAGGAGGAAACATTCAGTTCCCACAAAAAGACCAACGAACCATAACTGAACAGCACAGCCCACAAAGGAGATAGCTTTTTTCTCTGCAAAGATGTCACACAGCATCTTAGGAGCTATGAAAGAAGAGGAACACACATCTACAAAGGAGAGGTGGCTGAGAAAAAAGTACATAGGTGTCTGCAGCCTGGGGTCCACCAATATGAGAGTGATCATGCCCAGGTTACCCCCCAGGGTGACAAAATAAACAAAGAGAAGTATGGTGAAAAGTGCAGTCTTCTGATGGAGATGATCAGTGAGCCCCAGGAAGAGAAACTCAGTCACTATGGTCTGATTCTTTTCTTCCATGTCAGTTGGATTCTGTTGTCAGACAAATGTGTATTCCTTTATTACAAACTATCACTATCAATTACAAATAATGTTTTAATTCAATGATAAACTGCCTTAAGCAGGTTTGTAACAAACAGCTGGATGATATTGTTGTGCTGGTGGGTCAGGATTTCTGGATTCTATTTCTGAGCAACTGTATGAATATTCTGCAAAATTTTGGGCAACTTAACCTTGATATGTTCATATTCTGTAGCTCTAGGAACTGTCCAGCTATATGATCTAAAATTCCTTCAGATTAAATACAAAATTGGATGTGAGATGTGTTCAGATTTATAAAAATCTTCCTTTAAGAAGAATGAATATACAAACCATAGAATAGATACTATTTTAAGGGGAGCATAAAAGAACCAATCATATTAGGTGCCAAATAGATAAGAAATGAAATATAGGATTGGTATTTCTCAACCCAAATGCATAATTATAACAAAAGAATATGATTAACATGAGAGTTTCCTCTTCTGAGATTAAGAGATCTGTCATGCAATGGACATTGTAGTAGAAATTAAGATTTACTGAGCTAAAAAAATATAAAATATTTTAAATAATCTACATAAACTCACAAGTCATTCATGATAAACTATGTGATAATGTATATAAAATAACATCTATAAATTTTAATCAGGGAAAACCCTCAAGAGAATACTTTTAAGTGACTCAGTTAAGACAGTATAAGCTGTTTCAGATTTCTTAGAACAATATGTTTACATAAGATGATTTACATTAAAATTAATTTATAAGAATCAATTATGTCCCTCCTTGAATAAACAAAATATAACAATCACGTAAGTCATGATTTTCCTAACTCAATATTTAATTTTTAATAGTTCAACTATTTAATTTGTGGTTTTCTTTTTGTATCAAGGTCTCTTACCTTGCCATCTCAGTGCAGTAACAAAACTAATCCTGGTTTTCATTAATCACTACCTCTTGCTAATTGTTTCTAGTATTAGTCGTTAAATGCAACTATGTTTTAGGACTACAGCTGCAATAAGGAATAATATAGTATGCCCCTCTTCTATTTTGTTGCCAATCACTAGTTGTCTAAGTTTTATTTATGTGCTGGTTTAAATGTGTTACCTTGAGTCTTCTATGCAGTCAAAAGAATAATCCTCTCAATCATCATATCTAATGTGATACTAACCTTCTAGAACGTAATTACTTTCACTTAGAGAATTATTTCTTGTGAAAGTTTTTATATCATAGGTACAATGTTGTGTTTTGAGGGATAGTTATTGAATAATTAATTCAGTTTAATTATTATGGAATATTTCACACACCTAGTCATGTTGTATTCCCACTAGTGAGGGAAAAACATGAGACAATTAAAGCCTCCTAGAGATTTTTCAATACAGAACATTCATATTAAAAATACCTTGTATGGTTTTTCAAAATCCAGCCAGATCAATTCAGAAAACTCCACACTTGTGTGATTTAGTCTTGTGACAATGTGAATAAAATACCTTAAATCTCATCCCTTCAGAGTATCTGCAGTTACTGGGTTTTGTTTTTCAAAATTCAGAAGTATTCTGTTGTTTACCCTCCATATTTCAAGCACATCTAATAGCCTAAAATGTAGTGTACTCACTTCATTCTGCCACAGCTTCAACTGCTTCAAAAACAATAACACTTTTCTACAAAGATGACTCAACACCTTGCATGGTGATGACACTCTCTTGAGATACTCTACACAGATGGAGAAGAAACGAACTTCCCATCCAGGACATGAAGAGAGAATCCCTGATTCACATACTACACAGAACCAGGGACCTCATCCTGGGAGCATACAATTCAGAGCCAGGTCCCCAAAGAATTCAAACCTCAAAGGCTTACACACACCTGAAGGGGCAAAATCAACATTATCTCAGCACCATTTGGTTATTATTCCCTAAATGTGTCTTATCTCAAAGAAACCATTTGTGAGAAAATTGTGCATGTGTGTGCATATGTGTATACTTATGTATTGGGGTCGGGTGTATCTTTCTCCATTGGGATCTTTTTTACCAAGAAATCTCTCTTTTATTTCTTTTAACTTTTAATTTATTGTTAATTAGAAAATGCTAATTGTTCTTTGGCTCAACCCATGTTTCATAAATGGAAAATTTTAATGCTTTTTATGGTTGCTATTCAGTTGTGTTTGTATACAATATTTTCTTACTTGTTTGGTGAGGAACACTTATGATTATTTCCTATCTGGATAATTCTTAATTGCTTTTTAATGAGCATCATTGTGAAGATCGTAAAAGTAAGTTTCATCATTTGCTTTAGATTTGTACCCATTAGCGGTAATACTAGATTTTATGATGTTTCTATTCCCACTTTGAACCACTTTCATAATGCTTTCCATAACATAATGGTGATAATAAGTCACCTTCTGCCTATGTCATTTATCACACCCTCGGTGGCATTCCATGGTATTTGTGTTTCTCTCTTTTATTTAATAATCGATGTCAATGGAGTGAGGTGATGTCGCATTGTGGTTTCAATTTGATTAATGACTGTGAGTGGCTTTCCTGGATTAGTTGATGATTTTATGTCTTTTTAAAAATAACCAACCATTCCTCATACTGTATGGCCTTCCCCAGCCTTAACAAAGACAAGGTGCTTAGTCTTACTACAACTTAATTTGCCATGCTTTGTCAATATCCATGAAAGGCCTTCCCTTTTCTGAATAGAAACAGAGGAGGAGTGGATGGGGGATGGGAAACTGCAGTCTGGTTGCAAAATAAATAAATAAATAAATAAATAAATAAATAAATAAATAAATGTAGCCAAGCTAGTTTTAAATCATGTAAGGAAAAAAGAGTTTTAAAAACCACTACCTGCCCTTGGCGACCAGGTAACCTGAATAGAAAAGCATGAGAATGGATGGTAAGAAATGATAACAAAGAATCAGAATTTACAACTCTCTACAACTTATAACAAAACTTTAAATGAAAGGAAGCCAAGCATTTTGGCACAGGCACAGAGGCAGAGGCAGGTGGATCTCTATTAATTAGAAGACAGCCTGGTCTACAAAGTGAGTTTAAGGACAGCCAGAACTACACAGTAAGACCCTGTCTCAAAAAAAAAAATGAACACTGAGAATTGTGATTAAGACATCTATTCAAGTGTTATTTGGGCTTGAAAGCTCTGCTGAACACTTTGCCTTACAAAAACATTATCACCTCCCTCCCTGGTAAACTATAACCTGCCTTTACCCACACAGAAAAAAGAATGGTCTCACTGAGGCACATGCTGTAAAATGGGTGTACAACTTCTGGTTTTTCTGGGATACACTGACAAAGAATTGTCTTGGCACACATTCAATATACAAAAACTAGCAAAACTGATGAGAAAAAGGCAGTCTGCTTATGATTTTCTTGACATCTACCACCACAAATAAATAAGAAGCATTGTGAGATATTAATTTTATTTATTTGTTCCTCCTTCAAAAAAGTCACTTTAAACTGTCAAGAAGGTCTCAAGTTTCTGATCACTAATAAGTGAGTATATCTATGTTTTAAATTGCATTCATTTTTACATATTTTATTTTAAAAGTAAACAAAAATGGGACAGAATCAAAATAGCAGAATATTTATACTCACCAAATTAACATATTAGCATCTGGTTCAATTGTAGTATTGTAGTTGCAATTCTCAGTGAAATTGCAAGATGCTTATTTATGCTTAGTGTATTACATTCTTAAAAGAAGTTACTCTCAAATGTAGGTGCTGCCAAAAAGTGATGGGATAGATAAGGCAATAGTGAAGTTAAGGATATTTGTTTCTGGGAGGATTGGACCTAGAAAAGTACATTAAAGAGGTATTATCATGGGTAGAGACAGCTCAAACATTGAAGTTCTTGTTGTGTAAACTTTAGGACCTGAGTTCAGATGCCTAGAACCCACATGAAAACTGATGTGTAGCTCACATTTATAACCCCAGTGATTTCACAACAGGATGTGAGACAAAGACAAAATGTTTCCCAGAAGCTGGTAGACCTGCTACCCTTGTGTATGAAGGGACCAACTACAAGACAGCCTGTCTCAAACAAGGTAGAGTGTGAAAGTTAACATCTAAGCTTGTCCTCTGACTTTCACATGTGTGTCATGGCAGGAGCACACACACACACACACACACACACACACACACACACACACACACGAGAGAGAGACAGAGAGAGACAGAGATGATGACAGAGACAGAAAGGGAGACAGAGAGAGGAAGAGACAGACACATGGTTAAATTGTTCTTTAAGTTAAATGATACATTGCAGCTCAATGCATTTCATTTGAAAATTTTATCAGGTAACATGCTTAAGACAGCTGATGAGAAGAAGCAATTTTCAAAATATTATTTTTCCAGAAATCTTGAAGCATATTTAGGAGAGGGGAGAAATGACTCAGCAGTTAAGATCATGGGCTGCTATTTCAGAGAACCTTGGTTCAGTTTCCAGCACGTAAGTGTCAGCTCACAATGGTCTGTAATTCCAGTCCTAGAGAATCCGTGCCTTCTTTCAGACTCTTCAGACACTAAAAACATATGTTACACTTACATACATGTGACAAAATATTCATATATAAAAATAGGTCTTGGAAAGAAACAAGAATATATGCACTTTCTGTTCTTAGGACTGTGTTCAGTCAAAATATGGAAATGTATAAATTTTTCACTAGGATTTGAACTTTCCATAATCTCAGCTTCATTTGGAGCATTTCATTTGAAACATTGTGTTGAAAATATGGTTCTCGTCTTGAAGATGCATAGTTAATTCAATCAATTCAATGAGCAGTTAAATTCACTAAAATTGCTAAATATGTAAGCTAGTTTCCATCAAGATCTGGCACAAGTTTGTGAAATAGTCTGTGATATGGCAGAACAAGGACTCTCTTGCAACCTCTGACTCTCACTCCAGTGGTCTTTAATGCATATTTCACTCCCACAACTTAGGTATGTCACAGAGAGAATTCTGTCTTAAGC